ATAAACTAAGGAGGTAGAAGACCTATACTCGGAAAACTATAGGACACTTAAAAAAAGAGATAGAGGAAGACATAAACAGATGGAAGAACATACTGTGTTCATGAATTGGTAAAACCAACATCATTAAAATGTCCATACTACCCAAAGCAAACTGTAGATTCAATGAACTCCCCATTAAATTTGAAATACCAACAACATATTTCACAGGCCTAGAATGAAGTCTCCAAACATTCATCTGGAATAAAAAAAGACCTCGAATAGCTGCAGCAATCCTGAGAAAGAAGAACAAAGTAGGAGGGATCTCAATACCAGATTTCAAGCTGTATTACAAAGCCACTCTTCTCAAAACTGCCTGGTATTGCACAAGAAAAGACATATAGACCAATGGAATAGAATAGAGAACCCAGAAATTGACCTAAACCACTATGCTCAATTAATATTTGACAAAGGAAGCAAGAACATACAACGGAGTTAAGATAGTCTCTTTAATAAATGGTGTTGGGGAAATTGGACAGATACATGCAAAAAAAATGAAACTATGTTTGGATGTATAAATTCATCACTAAAGATAAGATAATGAACCTATCCATCACTACCAAAAGTTTTCCATTCCTGCTTTTTTGCATTTCCCTCCTCACTCCCAGATAACCACCGATCTGCTTTCTGGCTTAATAGGTGAGTTTATATTTTCTAGAATCCTATCTAATAAAGAGGTAATATGCTAATTGACCATCAAACATTCACAAGATGGTGGCACCTGAGCCAATAAAGAGAGAATATGCTAATTGACTCTCATGCCCTCACAAGATGGCGGTGCCCTCAGCCACAAGATGGTGGCACCCAGTCCCCTCAGATCTGCCTCATCCAGCTGGAGTCTCCCAGTCCCCTCAGCCCTGTCCTGTAGGGGGGGTGGCAAACACCATACACCTCATTCAGCCCCGCCTCATCCAGCCTCAGTCCCTCAGTCCCCTCAGTCCCGTCTCACCCAATCCTCACAGCATCCAGCCTCATTCAGACAGAATCCCCCAGTAACCCTCAATCCCACAGAGAAAGGCAATGTGTGCATTTCTACAAAAATAAAACAAAGCGCCTGTTGAGATGTTTATTGAGACTGCACTGAATCTGTAGATCAATTTGGGAGAGAAGTGTCATTTTAATTATGCTCCTGTATGATTTCAAAGTTTAGCTACATTGCTTAGAGCTCTGTAAACTTGGACACTTTACTTAATCTTTCAGAGCCTCAGTTTATTTTTAAATATATATTTTTATTGATTTCCCATAGGAAGAGAGAGAGGGAGACCTAGAAACATCAATGATGAGGGAGAATCATCAGTCCGCTGCATGCCCTCCACTGGGGATGGAGCTCGCAATCCTGCATATGCCCTGACCTGGAAATAAACCACAACTTTCTGGTTCATAGGCTCATGCTCAACCACTGAGCCATGCCAGCTGGGGAAACCTCAATTTTTTTTACCTACAGAAAAGAGGTGGTTATTTACCTACCTCTAGGTTAATGTGAGGAATAAATAAATCAATATTTGTAAACTGCTTTTGCTCATGTTTTCTAATCATGGATTTGGATTTACAAGTTAAATAAAGAAACTTTTATTTCTTCAACCTTCAGCCTTCATTTACTAGACATACTTTCATTATAATTTTATATTTTGAAAAGTCCATAAGCCCTCATTACACAGAGATGGAATTGACCACACAACTTGGTCAAGACTATTCATCTACCAACAAAGGAGAACTTCTAATTTTAATCCTAAATGTTAGCATTCGTCACCTATTTATGTATTACCTAATAAATGCAAGCCAGTGTATAAGCCCTCTGCTGGCCTCTTGGGATTAAAAGTGAGGCCAATGGATGGTATTTCCTCTTCTCACAAAGCTTTTGGACCACTGGAAAATATAGACAAGCAAACATACACTTTTGATGTAGACTAATAGGCAAACCTAAGGGAAATTGTGGAAACGCAGTTGAAGAGCAGCTTACCTGGAGCTGGGGGTCTGGGAATACATTTGTAAAGGACGTTACCTTGAAACCAAGGTCAGAGGATGAGTGGGCAGTAGCCAGGTTTTAGGAATCTGGAAAAGAGGATTTGGACCAGGATGTGGGCAACAGAGAAAATGCACAGTTTGTATTTTATAGGTGGAACAAATACCTGGATGTAAGAGAGAGAAAAGTGTGGTGTGAAAACTGGGGAGTCATCAAAGAGAGGTGCCATCGTGAACAGTATAAGCAATGTCAGGTGGTTTGATTGGATCCTGTGGTTTTAGGTTGGGGAGTGTGAAGATACAATGTGCAGTCTAGAAGGATTCCTTTTACATTGAAAATAAAGTAGAGAGGGTAGGGGGATGAAGCACTGAGGCACCAGATGCTCGGGAACAGTAGCCATGGGTGGGGATGGACGTGGGGATAAGGTTAATACCAGGCCTGGTGCTACGCGGATGTGTTTTGGTGAAAGGAGATGGAATTGTTAAGTTGGTAGCCAGGTGCCTGACCTGGTTTAATTGGTTACCTGTTTGGTGGTGGTGTCTTCCTGAGGAGGAAATGGAGAAGGGGCAGCAGGTCTGGTGTGGGAAAAGAGAGGTCGGTTTGCTTATGTTGAATTTCAGGGGATGCTAGCGGAAAGCCCAATCCATGTTAGGAGCTAGAGACCCGGTGTATGGGGAGTCTTGAGGGTAGAGAGAGATGGGAAGCTAAGAGGGTACATCACATGGTGGGTAGTGGGAGAACACAGGCTTAAAAGGAAAGAGGTCCTAGCCAGTTTTGCTCAGTGGAGAGAATGTCGGCCTACGGACTGAAGGTTCCTGGGTTGGATTCTGGTCAAGGCACCTGCCCCAGGTTGCGGGCTTGCTCCACAGTAGGGGGCATGCAGGAGGCACCCAATCAATGATTCTCTCTCATCATTGATATTTCTCTCTCTTCCTCTCTGAAATCAATAAAAATATTTTTAAAAAGATAGAAAGAGGAGGATTATTGTCTTTAAATTTAGGGCTTGGGAAAAAGCTCCTAATTTGGTGTTCTTAAACATGTTAAGAACCTTCATTCAGCCTGCATTAAAGTGCTGCTTCCTTCTTCCCATTACCTGCAATCACACTCTTGTTTTCCTTGTCAAGTCTGGCATCTGTAACAGGATCCATACAAGAAATGCAGGAACACAAGAATCTCTGCTTCTAATTCCCAGAGTTGAGGAAAATTGCTCTTGAAGGCCACTATTTAAGCATTGCCTTTTATTCTTTAGTGATTAGTGTGAAATGAAGAAGCCTAGTTAAAACTTAAGTTTTTCATTTTGTGTTTCTCCGGCTATATAAAATAGAACCCAGAAGCTTCAATAATAAAAGTAAAAACAGGACCACTTTCTTGAGGGTGTGGAGAGGAGGGCCTTGGCATATCACCATCACTGGCAAGTGGACCGAAGTGGCTTGCTGAAAGGGTTAGTGTTTCCACAGTTTGAATTATGGCCCAAAGCTTTTATTTTATGAGGAAACCAAAAGCTGAGTGTGTGTGTGTTTTTAAGAGACAAGTGATTTGCCCTTTGCCACTCTGCTGGGTAGAGAACAGGTGGCCTTCGTACTGGCAACGCCCGCTCCCTAGTCTAGTGGTCTTTCTACAACGTGGTGGTGCTGCCATATGGGAACATTTCCATTGGTCACCATCTCCACTACCACTCACACCACCCCTGCAGGGCAACTCTGGGTTCTTGAAGGTGAAAAAAAGAGTAGCAGGGAAAAGACCAAAATGAGAGAGAGAGAGAGAGAGAGAGAGAGAGAGAGAGAGAGAGAGAGAGAGAGAGAGAGAGAGAGAGAGAGACTTCATTGTTCCAGATATCAAAGACCTGCTGGCCTGTCAGGCCTCAGCAGGTTCCCTGACATTTTCAGGGGACGCTTTGTGTGGCGGTTTATTAAGTCAACATCTCTTTCTGCTTAAGCTGCTTTGGGGCCAGCTGGCTCTCAGTGTCACAGTGGGGATTTGGCATGTCTGTTTCATCTGTCATTTTGGTATAGCATCATTTAATTTTATAATTGTATAGTAGGAATGTTATATTTAGTAAGCAAAAATTTACTACTACTTTATGAAAACTGAAAATAGACCCCCAAGGCTAATGTATTATTTGGTAAGACACTTCATGAGGAATTGGAAGACTTGCTGCACTCATAGCGATAGCTCTCTTCTTTGACTTCAGTAAGTCCTTGGCATTATATGAAAAGCTTCCATTCTATAGGTAAAGAAAATGTCTGATGGGGTGATACCATCTGCTGATAGGGCTGTTTGGTTTGAGATTCCTGAATGAATTCTAGGATCCATTCCTAGGATCACTCCTGGCCCAATGATCGGCTCAATGTTCCTGCTGGTACTCACCTCCTGCGAATACTCTCGTTTCTCTCACTCTGTTGGTCCCTGTAGCCCCAGTCCTTCCTCTGTAAACCACTTCCCCAAAGTGCAGGCGTGTGAAGCATTCTTTACTGAAGGTTGCTTAGGTGGGGGTGTAGGAGAGGGGAGGATGCAGGAGTGGAGACTGTTACAGGACAGCATAGCAAACAACTTCAAAACCGAGTTATATATGCTTTATAGATATATAATGCTGTGCCAGTGTCAGATATTACCCTGATTGTTGCTTTGACTGTAATCAATAAAAAGAGCTTAGCGGAATCTATTATATATGGAATAACACTGTGTTCTCCCAGTTAAGTATCAAAGGAATAAATATTTAATTCTTGTGGTAAATTTATGTTTTAGGCAATATAGGGAGTTTCTCTTCGTCTTTTGTTTACACGAGTCCTTTTCATTGATAGATTTTAGCACAGATAATAAAACTTTCCTAACAAGGAAGTACAAGAGAGGTTGGATGGTCAAGGTGAGTTAATAATTGTTTCTTTGTTTCAAGTTATGTAACTGAGATTTGACACACAGAGCAATAAATAATTAGCAAGTGTGTGCTTTCTTTTTTTCCTTTCTATTTAACGGAGTGATCTTCTTTTCTCTTTAACTTTAGGAAACAGATATTGATGACAGATATGGAGATTTGGATTCCAGAGCAGATTCTGATATTCCAGAAATTCCGCCATCCTCAGATAGAACCCCTGAGATCCTCCAGAAAGCACTCTCTGGTTTATCTTCAAGGTATGATTGGATGAAGATGAATATCATAGGTGCACAAGATAAGTTGTGGGGTTATCCTGGCCCATGTAGTACTATTTTCACTATTTCTAAGCTTTGGAGCTCTGAGAGAGAAGGCTTATACTTTTTCATTGTAGGTGAAATACTATGAAGCAAACATAGTATTAAATGCTTAATGTGCATCCTTCATTTAATCCTTAAGATCTTATGAGTTACTAGAGGCCCAATGCACAAAATTCGTGCAAGAGTAGACCTCCTTCCCCCGGCTGCCGGCATTGGTTTCCCTCCAGCACCTGGGACCGGCAGGCTTCCCCTTGGCCACCTGCAGGCACCCGGGATCCTGGCTGACTTCCCTTGGCCCTGGCTTTGTATAAACAGATGAAATTGGCAACTGTTTCTTTTATGGGAAGGAGACTTGCTTAGATATTGTACATATATGTTGTCATACTTTAAGTTGAATCCAAATCTCTTGTAATATAATTTAAATGTTACCATTTGAATCAATAGAAATCAGATCTCTTAAAGAAAAAACTACTGTGTGTATAATGTAAAATGCATGTAGAACGAAAAAAGCAGGGCAGCAATTTTAGATTCAGAAATCATCATCTATACACAGGTGGTAGTAGAATCATTTTACATGTGTCAAAAGCAGCTGCCGACATTTTTCATGACACGGCCACATAAAGAGTGACAGTATTTGTAAGGTACACTGAGGATGAAGTGGAAGGCTCCTGAGGGTGGGGGACCCAGACCCTGACTGACAGCTGCCTGGGGATTGAGGGAGATAAATTCTCAGCAACCAGGTGGTTGTGCCAGCAGGGACGCTGTGCTGTAAGGAACAAGCAAAGGCCCAGAGAAGAAAATGCCTTTCTGCTGAGGGCCCTGTCCCTAACCAAGGAGAGCAGCCGCGCACTGAGCCACAGAAGGACGTGACATTCAGTTTGGCCTTGTCCTCTGTGACTGACCTCCTCGCCGGCACCTTCTGCCTTTCACTGGCATTGCTGTGCTCTCCAGTTTCAGTTCTGCATCAGCCTCTCTTTCCTTTTACTCATCAGAAGGTCACCCACTCTGTCTGAACCACCTTGAAATCGTATTATTTTTGTCCAGTTCCCCAAAGGATTGGTCATCGCTTGGGAGGACTTTTGCACCTGCCTCCTCCTTCCCTTCTGAATGACCCTGAGACAAGTGCACACGTCCATGTCCATCCCCTCACTGCTTAGTCTCATGATTCATCCTCACAATAAACAAAAGTCAGGCCTTTTCTCTGGCTTACGTAATCTTTACATTTAATTTAGCGCTCAGTGAGTGAACAGATGCTCTTTGGTTGGTTGGGTTTTTGTTGTTTTGTTTTTTTATTATAAGGGATTCTTAAAGTATATTTAGGGAAAATCCTTAAGTCTGGTAACTCATTATTGAAACCATCCTCACACAAAAATACTATTAAGGACACATTCAGTGCTAACTTTATAAACGTTTTCTTTGCAGGTGGAAAAACTGGTGGATCCGTGGAATTCTTACTCTAACGATGATTTCCTTGTTTTTCCTGATCATCTATATGGGATCTTTTATGCTGATGCTTCTTGTAAGTATTTACATTTCCCTAAGGTGCTCTTGCTTTGTTTTTCAGCATTTGGTGGAATTGCAGTAATTTGAGCCTGTCGTGACCAAGAAGGCAATGCAAGACTTGGTAACAGCCAACTCAGTTCCTTTAAGCATCTTGTAGTTCATGAAGTGAACAAGGCTAATCTTTTCTGTTTGCAAAATGGCCTTTGAATGTGTTCCTTCAGCAGAGACCAAGTATATAGGGCCTATGCATGTCTTTTTGTCAAGATAAAACAGAAACACACGCATATATGTGACTTTAACATATGGGACTGTTAGCTAGATCCCTAACTTCAAAGAACTTAACCCAATGGCAGAGGCATCTGAGTGACCATGTGAGAAAATAGGATAGTAATTAAATGGGGTAAGCCCCAGGGTAGAACTTGTTGGGAGACCACAGTGTAAACAAGCGCCTGGAACAGCCTGAGACAGAGATGAAGGAAGACTCTCAGAAGAGGTGATGTCACAGCCAGTCCAGAAAGAGGGTCAGGACAAGGGGGCGGGGAGGCATTCCAAGGTGGGGACATCATGAGCACGGTGTGGAGTAACCTGTGGAGGGAATGTAGGAGGAGACCAGAGAAGTGAGAGCTGTTCTGGGGGTTTTGTCATCTCTGAGAAGCCCAACAAGTCCTGAAGCCCAACAAGTATTTTAAGTTTTAATTCATTCATTTAATTCATTCATTCAGCAGATGCTCCCAGGATGCCTGCCATGTGCCAGGCGCTGTGCTAGCTCCAGCCTCTGCCACAGTGGCGCTGAGAAAAACACGCCTGTCGGTGCCGTCATGGAGCTTACGATCTACACTTTAGAGAATTGATCAGAAACACAGCTAAAAACTGCAATAAGCATTTAATTTTTTTAAAAAGAAAAAAGGGTGCTGTGAGAGCAAAGGGGAAACTGGAGGGCTTTTCCAAGTCCTGTGTCCAGCGTAAGTGCTCTGTCTGAAGGCTGAGTAGGAGTTGGCGTGGTGAGAGACGGAGCTTGGGGGAAGGAGGGTCACTGCACAGCCTCCTGCACATGAAGGCCTTGGCATCTAAAGAAGCGTGAAGCGTGGGGAGCAAAGGGGTGGGCGTGAGGAGGAGAGTGCGTTTGTTCAGTAGCTGTGTCACTCGATGCCCAGTGGGGTTTAGCGGGGAACAGTGAGAGCCGGCTCTCGGGGATGTGTGGTGTCTCTACTGTATTATTTCCTTCTCTTCATCCCATCTCCGTTAGTTTAGCTGCTGCTTCTGCACTCACCTCCCCGTGTCCTGCTGGCTCTTGCCCACTTAGAATTCCGTTCACCTGTCTTACCTGTCTTCTCCTTCCATGCTGGTCCTATGCAGGGCACTACGCTCGGAGCAATGCGAGATGGCTTTCCTTTATTCTAGAAAAGAAATCCATTTTGAACTGAAATTGGGCACGCTTGGGGAAAAATAAAATTCCACCAACCCCTGAAACCACTTAAAATAACTCTCCGAAGCACCACCAAGTCCTTTCGCTTTTCTTTTTGCCCTCATTAATTTTGTACTTCCTTGGGGATATCAAGGTCACAAAAATGGATAAGAAATGGAAGAGCTTTTTTTTTTTCTTTTCTTTTTCTTTTTTTGCAAGAAAAATGGATAATGGATAGGACTAATTTAATGTGAAGGCAGAAGCTCTGAGTCTGAAGGCCAGGTAGGCAGGGCGAGCACCGTCCCAGTGAGACCGGACAGAAGAACCCGGCTCCTGGCCTGCATCCCAGCCCGCTGAGGGCTGTAGGTGCCAGGTGACCACCACCGGCCTCGGGACCTGGGCACCGAAGGAGAGAGTGTGTGTGCAAAGCGCTTTTCCGTGCTGCATGGTGAGGGGTCGAGCCTGGAAGCGGGATTGCATGATGGCAGACAGCCCGCAGGCTTTGTGCTGAGGGGCCTTTGGGTGGAGCCTGAGGCTCTATCAGGAGCTGTGAGCAAAGGTCCTCATGGGCATGTCAGGAAGGCGTGTTGCCCTTCCCTAGAGGCAGGGCCTTTGAACCTGGAGGAGTGATTAGGGATCAGATTCCGGAGGACCTTGTCACACTGTGTGAAAAGTTTTGGGGTTTATTTGTACAGCACAGAGGAGCCATTGAAAATACTGGGGGCTGTTTGAATGATGAGCCTCCGTTAGAAGATAGTTTTGATCGTGACGTTGCAAAACCTCTGCATCCCCCATGCACTGACTCCGTGGGCTCCCTGGGAATAAGGGATGTGGTCTCCACATCACACTGTTTGGGGTGGAGTAGGGCCAGAATGGGTAGAGTGCTTTTTCACCACCCTTTTATGACAAAATTCAAAACCCCTTTAAAGGCATCCTTGGATTCTGGTTTTTAAAAAGAGAATCACAAGAATACCTAAAGCACTCGGGCTTTTTTGTTCATCCCTTCTCTCTCTCCCCTCCCCCCACTATGAAAGATTGTTTTTTTGGTAAGCTTAATCAGAGGAGAATACAAGAATATTAAAGACTAGAGGACTGGTGCATGAAAATTTGTGTACTGGGGGGAGGAGGGAGTCCCTCAGCCTGGCCTGCCCCCTCTCACAGTCTGGAAGCCCTCGGGGGATTAGTATAGATGTAGTTAAAGTAGATTTAACTAGCAGGGAGCCAGCCTAAGCCACAGACTGGCCTTCCTCTACAGGATTTGACCAGGCCAGTCAGGAGGAGGTGCTGCCCCCATCACCCCACCGCTGCTGCTGCCTCTGGCCTCTCTCTTGGGAGGTGACCAGGCCAATCAGGGGAAGGTGCCATCCCCATTGCCCCACCGCCTCTGCCGGCTGCAGCTGCCAGCCCTCGGCCCTTGCTTTTTAGCGCTGGCTCCGCCCACTGGTGGTGGTGGGGGTGATCTGGGGCCAGGCTGGCTATGGGAGGGGCTGTGGGAGGTTGAGACACAGCAGGCTGAGCTACGAAGGTGTGGTGCGCCTCTCCCACGCCCCCACCTCTCCCACACTGCCTGCCGGCCCTTGGCCCTCACAGCCACTGTGGCTTTGTCTTGAAGGACGTCCAGAAGGGCGTCTGGTCTATCCAGTCTAATTAGCATATTACCCTTTTATTAGTATAGATGTAGTTAAGTTGGATTTGAACTGTTGTCGCTCTTATTTAGGCTTATTGCATATGCATGCACACGTGTCTGCACCCAGGTACACATGCATGTATACATATGCTGCATTGATGTTTATGGTAAGGAGATATGGATGGTCATACACATACACTGTTGGTTCTCATTTGCTTTTATGTGCTTGAAAGTCTCGTTTACATCCATATCCCTAACTAGGTCATTTTTATTTTGAGTCAGACACATTGTATATAGCTTGCATTTGCCTAATAATATCAGCACTTAAAAATGACTAATTCAAGAGAATTTTATTAAAAACTTCTAAGAAATGATAGCTACTATTTTAAGATGGAACTCATACTCATGTTCCTTAAAATGAACTTTTCCCCTTCAAACCTTTATTTCTAGTACTTTAATTGTTGCAGCCACAGCTTCAAATCACTTTTCAGATGATGGATTTACTAAAGCATATTTTTATTTAAAAGCAGGTGTGCACATATAGAAGCTATTGTAGGAGCATCTCCCCTAACCCCCCCGCCCATCTTCTTGGAAACTCTTATAGTAATTCTTTTAATATACAATATATAATTTACTTTTTAATAGTGTTTAATTTTTCTCCTTTGTGAGAGGTATAAAAGTATATTAAAATTACATTGGAAAGTAGATAATTTTAAAAATCATCCAACCCAGTCATTAACCACAAAAACCTAGTTAATACTGCCATTTGATATGCTTCCTTTAATCCTTCTTTCTTTTCCGTTTTAAAAACCATGGTTGTAGTCATAATGTGACCAGCATTTCACATCCTGCTGTGGAAACTAAGTATCTTCTCCAGTGTTTTGTGTTGCCCCAGTTTTACCAGCATTGGCTTAATACATTCATCCACTCCATGGAATGGAGTGCCTCATCGGTTATTAAACCATTGTGCTATTTTTAGACGTTCAGGTTATGTTCTGATTTTTCTTCTTTTTTTGTGTGTGTGAGTAACTGTTCAACATATTGCAGACGTATTGCAGAACATATGCAGAATTAATTTCTTTGGATAGATTCCCACAGTGAGAATAGACACTTTCACTTGGGTAACCCAGAGGTACCCTACATAGTTCACACTGAACATATGCAGATCTCAGCTTCTATTCCAACCCCAGCCATTCTGCATAAATCAGTTTCCCAAGCCTTGCCTGGTGTTACTCTGTGTCCCCCCCTCTCTCTTGCCCCTTCCCCTTTCCTCAAGCTCCAAATCCTGTTAGTTCTACCCCTCGATGTCTGTTTTTCCAGCACTCCATTCTGCCCCATCCAAGATAGATGCTCACCCACACTCATTCGGATGGCGGTGTCCTGCCTGCCTTGCTCTCTACCTGTGCTGCCTCTGCAGTTCATTCTTTCCACCTCTGTTATCATCAGACACTCCTGTCTGACCACGTCCTTTCACGACCAGCACAGACTCCTTTGTGCTGTTTTCTTTGGTCCTGGGACCCAGTTTATCTCTATGTATTACCCCCACCTCAGTGTTCCAGCAACTCTGAGAACCACAAGCCTTGTCCTCTCTTACACACATTTCCTTCTCCTTTGCCCTGACTGTTGCCCTCCCCTGACCCCTCCCATAGTTGTCTTTGTTTGTCTTTTTGCCTGTGCTTATTTATATCCATGTAACTATTTCCACATGGTATTAGCAGTTGTGTGTGTCCTCCCTGACAGACAATGCCTCTCTGAGAATAGATGTCCTATGTCAGTAACTAGCAGAATAGGCATTTAGATAAAGGTTGTTGTCTTACGGTTCTTAACACATTAATCGAGCCAATGGAGTCCGACCAATGTGCATTGCTACCAGTATTGATGGCGTGGAGTGTCAGTTTCTGTGTAGTCGCCCAGCCCTGGAAGATACACATATATATTAGCTCAAATGCTTGAGTCCTGTTTTATCTTTTCCCAGCAGTTCCATATTAATTCTACTTGCACGCTATAACCGGCGATCATATAAATATGTGTGTGCTATTAAAAATACTTCTTTTCCTCTAAGTAAAATACCACATATACAATGCTAATGGTTCTTGAGCAAATGTGTTCCTAAACATTGCATCAGTGTGTTTGGTATTTTAAAAGCCCTTGGTTCTATAAATAGCATGGCTTTGCCATTTTATCTTAACATCTACCATTGTCACTATTCTGTGATTTTTTTTGTGTGTCTAAAAATGACATTGGGTGTACAAGGGTTATTTGAAGGACAGTATTTCAATTTCCTCTTGTCTTTATAACACACATTTACGACTTTTTCCTAAAAGAATTATTCATAGTAGTTTGGCATAATAATTTCTTATGTGGCTGAGGGGGCCCAATAACTTCTTTAAAACAAACATATTTTTTTTTTTATTGATCTCAGAGAGAAAGGGAATGAAACATCAAGGACGAGAGAGCCAAAACCAGTTTGGCTCAGTGGATAGAGCGTTGGCCTGCAACTGAAAGGTCCCAGGTTCAATTCCGGTCAAGGACATGTACCTTAGTTGTGGGCACATCCCCACTAGGGGGTGTGCAGGAGGCAGCAGGTCGATGATTCTCTCTCATCGATGTTTCTAGCTCTCTATCCCTCTCCCTTCCTCTCTGTGAAAAATAAATAAAATATATTAAAAAAAAAAAAAAAGGATGAGAGAGAATCATCAATCCGCTGCCTCATGTATGCCCCACACGGGATGGAGCCCGCAACCAGGCACGTGCCCTGATCTAGTTACTTGTGAACAACCAGATCCCATCCCTCAGATTGAACTACACTGCCACCTCCCCCCTTAAGAAGGATCTCTGTTTAAAACCTTGTTTTGCTTACCCTTTAAACTGGAGTTAGAGATGTTGAATATTGAATTTTTGCTACTGACATTTAGAATAATTGAAAAATGAATAGGCTCCAGCACATATGACAACAAGCTACTTATTAAATATAAGCATCAAGAAACAGACAACAGGGAGGTGAGGGCGTGAGTGGAGGGGTAATGGGATAAGGACACATGTAATACTTTAATCAATAAAATTTATTTTAAATGTATGTCAATGTTTTCTCTTGATTTCAGGTTCTAGGCATCCAAGTGAAATGCTTCCATGAAATTATCACTATAGGTTACAGAGTCTATCGTTCCTATGACCTGCCATGGTTTAGAACACTCAGCTGGTAAGTGACCTAAAACCTTTTGATATGAAAATCTGACTCTTTTCTCAAGTTGGTAAGAGGGGCATTCTGATCAGTCAGTATCCATATAGTTGATCTTACAGATTGATTTTGGAGAAAGATAAATTTAAAAACTGCAACTGAATTTTGAAAAGAAGAAAATCATCTCTTCCATTTCAACGCAACTGTTAAAATATCTCATCTTTCACTCTTTGTAGAGATATCTAATTTATATAGAATCTATATATCATTCTTGTCCTGTTTTAAGAAAGCCCTTCAATTTTAGACACATTTTATATCATTTATAATTATAATTTTCCTTTGTAAAATGTTACAACTGTGTAATCTTTTGCTTTTCCCCCTCGGTTGACATGAGACTGAATTAAATATCTACGAAGACTGAAAGATGAAAATAGTTGTTTTGTTTTTATTTTTTGAGAGATCAATGGTTGATTCAGGAGGGGAAAGTCCAAACTAAATGTCTGTCTCCCATCTTCACCCCTGCAATCTGGCCCATTCTGCCCTCTCCATAGCCCCCATAGGCCTAGGTAAGGCAGGAAGGCCGTGAGAGGAGGGGTGAACCCACCTTTGTTCCTGTGGTTTGGTCTCCTCTCCAGGCCTGGGGCCCCATGACATGCAACATGAAGGGCAGGTAGGGGATACCGAAGACTCTGATGGGGGCAGTGTGTAAGGCATCCTTGTAAATAGTACTGGCTAACTTACCAGCCCACGAAATACCGTGTGTGCACAAATCCATGTGAACATTAGTAAAACAGAATACCAAATGATTTTAATATTTAAAAGTTTATATCTTTTTAAATCGTTGCAGGGACAATCTTTAGTTATCAATACCTTGACCAGGAAACATAATGCCATGATAGTTCACGATTGATTAACCTACTTGCCATGCCTTTGAGCTTAGTTATTTGATTTGTATCAGCCAGAGAGGCCAGTGTCTTATTAAAACAAATGTATCACCTTCGAGGTTCAGCATAGTCAAAAATAGTTTCTTGATTTTGGTAGTCACAAAGTGTACAGAAGATGTTAGGTAGATTAAGTAGTTGGAGAATAATTAAACTCAAAACCATGCAGGATTGACTTTTTTATTTTTGAGAGAGGGGGGGGTGGACATCGATGTGAGAGAGACACATTGACTGGATGCCTTCTGCAACTACAACCCGAGCACATGCCTTTGACTGGGAGTCAAACCTGCAATCCTTTGGTGCACAGGCCAGTGCTCTAACCACTGACATCACCAGCCAAGGCAGGTTGATTCTAAGTGTAGGAAGAAAGGGTAGGCCGGGATAGGCTGCAGTGATTGCAGAAGGCCTCAAGGAGAAGGTGGGAGAGAAGCTATCCCTTAAAGACAAGCTTCTGATAGAGAAGAGGGTTCTGGGTGGGGAAGTGGCACCCGTCATATTCTAGGTATGAGACTGAGAATGCATGTGCCACATGTGGTGACATTCCTGGCCTCCTGAGCAGAAGGCATCTATTGGGGAGCAGTGGGCAAAATGTGCCGGTGGGCTAGACTGGGCTGTGACAGCCTTCCAGAAGAGTCCAAGACAGTTTCCAATGTAGGAGGATAGCAAAAACGGTAGCACAGCTGATAGAAATGAAAATACTTGTCCTTTGAAAATGGTGGGGCGTAATTCCCTCCATGAGATGCAGAGGGAAGCCACCCTTCCCTTTTCTGTCTCCTGGCAGTGTTTGTCAGCCTTTTGTCCTGGCTCCCATTAGCAAAACCTCATGGGTTCAGCCTTCCCCTGAGTGAAAAGAGATACCAGAGCTTGGAGGAAGGACAGATGACTTATATGATTTTTAAAAGGTTCTACTGGAGATTTTTACCTGCTGCTAGCTCCTATCCCCACTGCTGCCCCTTAAAAAATCCCCGCTCAACAGGAGCCACTGGGAGTGTGGAGGAGAGGGAGAAAGATGCCAACATGTGCAGGGCAGGTGGAAATTTGGCTTAGGATCTCCACTATAAAAAGCATTAGAGCTGTGTGTGTGAGCGAGAGGGGAGTGGGGAAGAGAGAGATTGCAAGTATGTTCTCACAATCGACATTGTGAGATTGAAAGTGTTTTTCATATTGTTTCCTAATATTGTTTCTGGAATTTTGAGGGACATAAAAAAGTTTCAAATATAAAAAGCTAATTATTTTTAAATTACAGGTACTTTCTACTCTGTGTCAACTACTTTTTCTATGGAGAGACTGTAGCTGATTATTTCGCTACATTTGTTCAAAGAGAAGAGCAACTTCAGTTCCTCATCCGCTACCATAGATTTATATCATTTGCCCTCTATCTGGCCGGTAAGTTAAGGAAGACATTCTGTATCGATATGTAGCTAACAGATTTTACATGTTTATTTTTATTTTTGTTATTTAAATTCATAGCATCCTTACTTTGTTACATTGTTATCCAGCTTCTTTTTTTTTATTTTTTATTGTCCCATGTAAAAAGCTTTCTTTTTTATTAGGGTCTTATAGAAATTATATCTTAATGGTGATTTTAAAAAGTACTTATTTAATAGTCACTCCATGTATTTGAGAAATTTCTTTGCAAATAGTAGTAAAGAAACTTTTAAATATATGGATTGATATAACCAGGTATAATTTACAAAGAAACTTTCACACTTATATTGCTTTATTTGTTTCCAGGTAATAGAGTTTTCATATAGACTTAATCAGGATATTTAGTTTTTCTGACATGGTTCATTATATAGTCACAATATATATAAATACAATGTTTTTATGCTGTGACACATTTTTTTTGTTGTTTTTTTTAGATTGAGAATCTGATACTTAGGATAAAGTTAGGATTATAGATTTATTTTCCATTGAAGTTTCCCAACCATATACAAATTTTTAAGAAATTGATTTAGATATGCACTTTTTAAAAGTCGGACTTACATCATTAAACAGGTGTCTAAAATATCACTTTCTATAAAGCATCTATGTTTACCTTTTCATTCCTGAGCTTATTAACTGCTTCCCCTTCTTTTCTCCACATTTGTAAAGTTCTAGGTAGCAATCCTTAATTTTTCCTTCAGGTCTGAACTATGTCTGTTGGTAGCTTTTTCAAATGTTCACACAAATCAGTAGCATATCAGTTCTCTCTTTTCCTGGAGGCCCCTGTTCCAGAGACTTCTGTGGTGTTACGTTGGGCTGGCTGCTGGTCGGCCTATAGTGTACCAGCATGATTTGGCCTTATTTCTTCTCTTCCATGCCCTCCAGTTTCTGGGTTTACACACTCATTTTGTTGTAAGCATGGCCTTCGATAGTTTCTTATGAAATGTTCGTAGAAGATAAATGTCTAAAAATATTTTTATTCACCTGGCTGGTATGGCTCAGTGATTGAACATCAACCTAGAACCGTTGGATTCCTGCTCAGAGCACATGCCTGGATTGTAGCCTCCATCCCCAGTGTGGGGCATGAGGGAGGCAGCTGATCAGTGGTTCTCATCATTGATGTTTTTATCTCTCCTTCTCTTTTCCTTTCTGAAATCAATAAAAATATATTTGAAAACATACATATTTATTCTGTTCATACAGTTGACTGCTTTGGCCAAGGTTCCCACTTACTAGGAATAGACTTTTATTTAATACTCTAGTTTAGAAGCCCAGGCCTCACTCTTGCCTTCCACTGAGCCTTTTCTGCTCACTTTTCTCTAGAAAATACTACCAGCTGTCCCTGATTTCTTAGGTTTGCTGAAAGTGATCCAATCTCTTCTCTAGCTTCCAGAGTTTTGCAGCCATTTCTCCTGTTTTCCTTTGACATTTCTTCAGTTCTCTTTGCTCTCTGGGTTTTGTTTCCTTTATTGTTTTCTTGCTCTGGGTTTTTGCCTAAACCTTATTTTAGTTAGGCTTCTGGGACAGAATAGAAACAAATGGATGTGGTCTACTTGCCATTTTAAGACAGAAATCCTAACTAGTCTTATATTTTTTTATTTTGGCTTTAAAGAATTTTACTGTTTTCTCTGACGGCTCCAGGGGCTGACTGGCCTCAGTGGGCAGCTCTGACAGGATCTCTCCCGGGGTGGCCTCAGATGGAGGCAGTGCCAGTCTTAAGTCTCGACTGGCTGGACGTCCGAGGTGGCTTGCTCTCAGGGCCACAGTCAGTGCTGGCTGTTGACTTGAACTCCTACTTTTGGCCTGTCCCTGGGGCATGACTGCCTCTGAGCACCAGGGATGGGTTCCGAATAGGGACGGAGTGCGCCAAAAGCCAAGTGTCTCAAGGGTCCTTAATTAGGTGTGTTTTTAAACTGGTTTCCAGAAATGAAAGCATGATGCCTGCCCGTAGGAAACATATAGACTAAAAAGGAGTATTCAGGGAAACTCCCCTCCTGCCTCAGAGTCTGCCTTACTGTCTCTGGGCGCTCACAGCAGCGATTGCAGACATTTTTTTGAGTGTTCACACTTATATGTTTGTATCTTCCACCCCCCCCCCCCTTTATTATTATTTTTTTTTTAATACAAGCAGATATTCTGCACCTGCTTTCCCCCACATGATGTGGCTTATGGGTGGCTTTATGTTGGGACATCAGAATTGATCTCATGTTTTCCGTACCTGCGGCAGCATCGGTATTGATTTGCAGACAGCAGTACCTGCTAGGCAGAATGTCAGGAGGCACGGGGGCCATCATTACCTCGGCTTACTTTCCCTTTGAGGTTTGCTCGCTCTTACACTCGAGGATAACTTCTCAATTGAGTGGTAATGAAGATGTAATTTGTTTTCTTTATTGTTTCTTTTTCTACATTTTATACACGACAGCCTCCCAGCCAGCCTTTATAGTGCTTGCTTGCTTCCTACCCTCTTTTCCAGCTCAACTTTTATCAAATAAAACCAACATTCCTTCCTTTTTTCTCTGACTGATTTCTGTCAGAGAAATAGTGCAGTTCAGGCTCTTGGACTCACAGGAGCTCGTGGGCAGTCAGTGTCATTCTCCCAGCAAACATGTGAGTGCTTTCCAGACGCTCGGCCCTGTGTATCGAGCAGAGGAGACAGGGGGGTATGGCCGACTGGGTGCCTTGAGGGTCTTAAAATGGGTGGGGCATGCATCCCAAGTTCATTGCTGAGACATGAACCAGGACCTCTAAGAGGGAGGAGGGTATACTAACATCTGTCTTGTCTCTGCTTTGCTGTTCCCCATTAGCCTCTCTCTGAGCCAAATCCAATCTGTGTTTGCCCCCTTCACCGTGGACCAACGCATAAAACAGCACAGAAATGGCATTATTACCTGAGCCACAAAAGCGATCTGCCTGCTATAGAAGAAAAGCTTAAAAGCAGTCATTTTAAAGAGGTCTTTTTAAACTACTGATTACTTCAATGCCACGAATTCCCTGTCTCAACCCTTCCTCTCCTGCTTGCTTGCTTGCTTGCTTTCAAGAAAAGGATGTCATGATTTTCCATTGTGTCTCTACACAGAAAATGTTTCTGTGTTTCTTTTGCAGTTCAGCCAGTCAGATTACTCTGTAGGTGTCTAGTAGGAGGTGAGGTGGGATCTGGGAGCCCATATTCATTCTCTTCCTTTGTCACCATCCTTGTATTCCACTGACATTTCAAATCACTCATCAGAATAGAGCTGAAGGCAGCTGCTGTTTGGTTCAAGGCTCTGATCAGAATAGTATCAAGCTTGCTTACTAGTGTATAGAATTGCCTTGATTAATATGACTTAGATCTACTAAGTCTAGTATTTATTTCACATAAGATAGATTAGTTGATAATTTATTTTCTATCTCAGATTTCACTCTCTAAAGACTAGAATGCATGAATGGCTATTTATCTAAAATTAAATTTGGTGTATGCATTTTCAATACCTACCTCTGAAAAAAAAATCCTTATAGTTTAGAAGTTTACTGACATGTTGGGCAAAAAGTGTTTATATTTGCTTCCCATTATTTTGGTATATGTTAAATTTCAGTTATTTAGGTAGAATTTTTATTTTAGTAAAACTTCATTGTAATATATTTGTAGGCTATTAACATAAACACTAGTGCTGTTTGTAAATCTTATTTGAGAATATATTTTATTATTCTATCTAACAAAAGAGTAATATGCAAATTGACCATACCTCTGCTACACTTAAAAGCCACACCTACCAACCAATCAGGAGCGACTATACAAATTAACCCAACCAAGATGGCTGTGGCCTTGGAGAGAGCAGAAGGCTTGAGTTGCCCGGTGATGGAGGAAGCCAAGTTTCTGCAGCCATGGCCTGCCTTGGCCTCTGCTTAAGGCTACAAAGTTTCAATTATAGAAGATAAATAAATCCCAACAAAAATGGCTATAAATCCCACATCCCAGGGCCTCCCCTTAGATCTCCAGGGAGCGTGGCCAGCCTGAAAACTACCACAGGTCTCTTGCTCAGGCCACCCCATACCCCAAGGGAACCCCCACCTTGATCCGGGACACCCTTCAGGCCAAACCAGCTGGCCCCCACCCATGCACCAGGTGTCTATCCTATCTAATAAAAGAATAATATGCAAATTGACTGTCACTCCAACACACAAGATGGCTGCCCCCATGAGGACACAAGATGGCCACCACAAGATGGACAGCAGGGGAGGGCATTTGAGAGGGACCAGGCCTGCAAGGGAGGGCAGTTGGGGGTGATCAAGCCTGCAGGGGAGGGCAGTTAGGGATGACTAGGCCAGCAGAGGAGGAAAGTTGAAGGCAACCGGGCCTGCAGGGAAGGGCAATTGTATGTGGGGGGGGGGGGTAGGCGCGGGGGGGGGGGGAAGGTCCAGGCCTGCAGAGGAGGGCAGTTAGGGGTGACCAGGCCTGAAGGGAAGGGCAGAAAGGGGCAAACACTGGAAGGGGAGAAGTTAGGCATCAATTGGGCTGGCAGGGGAGTGGTTAGGGGGTGATCAGGCTGGCAGGCAGAAGTAGTTAGGGGCAATCAGGAAGGCAGTCACGTGAGCAGTTGGGAGCCAGCAGTTGTAGATTGTGAGAGGAATGTAGGACATCCCTCGAGGAATCTCAGATTCGAGAGGGTGCAGGCTGGGCTGAGGATCCCCCCACCCCCCATGAATTTTGTGCACCGGGCCTCTAGTAATTACAGTAATATGATCTGAGACATTTCAAGTCACTCTTAACCTGAGTCTTGCTAATGGTTTGTGGAACCACAGATTCTTGAGGATCATTAGATCTGAGTGTTTAATGCATTTTAGCCTGGTGATAATTAGTAAATTAATGAAGTCTTTTGTGTATTTTCATTCATCTATAAAACTGATACGAATAAAAGGTACCTATGTCATAGGGATTTGGGGGGATTAAATGAGTTAATACTTGTAAAATACTTAGATAAGAGCCTGGAACATAAGTATTCAACAGATGTTAGCCACCATAGTAATTATTTTTAATTTTTATATTGTGCAGAGATTGAAACATTCTGTATATATACTTAGTATACTGACATAGCAAATTAATTTTTATTCAACTGAAATTTAAGATCTGGTTTTCCATGTCCACCTATTAGCAAGCAATGAATTCACTTATCTAACGCAGGGGATATTTATTGAATTTGTGCATTGGAATATATTAGGCGTTTTGGAGACTACAAGCTCATTTCCAGCAGGAAACTTTTACTTAAAATACTTAATAGAAGAGTAGGCGACATGCCAGATGAGTAAGTGGCGGAGAGTATACAGGTGTGGTGAGGAAGGTTGGCTTGTTTGAATTCAATGAATCTTACACTTTGTAACCAATTGCACAACAAGCACATGGTCTTTGTTCCTGAGCAGGTTTCTGCATGTTTGTGCTGAGCTTGGTGAAGAAACATTACCGACTGCAGTTCTACATGGTATGTATTAATCATTGTTCTCCAGTCACTGTACATCATAGAAACCCTTACGTTTAATTATTTTTTTTCTGAAGTGAGAAGATAAAATGTAATCTGCTTCTTGAGGCGTAGGTGTGAGGGATATTTCCATTTTGGGATGACTATTAAATATAAAAGGTTAAAGTTGAAACATTTTTGAGGATTTAAAAGTCTTAACCATTTTCAAATATTCTAAAAACTTTTTCTTTGAATATTCTCAAAGGCTATAAAATTAAAACCAAGTATTTGGGGTTCCCTAAACTGGTAGAAATTTAAAACATTCCCATAGATTTCTGAATAGTTAGTCTGAAGAGCTGACTATATTTACCCTATTTCTCTATGGAAACTTGCTCTTCGTTGAGTATGAAGGACACAAAGCATGTATTTTCTTGGTAGCTATGGTTAGTCATAAAATTTCATAATTCTTTTCAGCCTAAGGTATTTTATTCAGTTTATCATTGAACAGTGTTCAGTGTTTTTGAAATTTATCACTGTGAATGATGAACTTTCCTTATTTCCTTAAAAGGTAGCTAATTATAAAACTTAAAGTGAAAAACATAATGTTTAAATATGTGAAATCTGTATTAGGCTTGTTTTGGATTTGGGATATATTTTATATTCTTTATGCTTTGCTTTTCTCCATTAAGATGACCTGCTGAGTATTAGTGTTGAGAAATTATAATATTTCTTATATTTCTAATTTCTGGAGACCTTGAGAGGAAAATTCTCAGTGAAAAATCTAGAAACCATCAAGACAAATTAGAAATAATAGGATCTCCTATGAAAATATAAATGGTGCCTATTGGAAAAAAATCATGTATGCATTTTTAAGCAATCAGGGTCAAAGAGAATTGGATCCTTTAAGCAGATAAAAATAAAACAAAACAATATAATATTTGCTGAAATAGAAAATAGGTTTATTATGAATAAATAAAAATCTAAGAATTTTGAAGGGTAATAAATTCCAATCAAAATTATGACAGTGGAACCATGAGCTTTATTTCATTCACATTTGACTCATACTGATGATGCTAAAAGTCCCTAACAGCCACCTCTCAGGCTGATGGGACTGAGACACGGAGACCTTTGGAAATTTGACATGGATTCCTGCCATTGAACAGAGCTGTGATAGTCAACTTTCAAGTATGGAAAGGTGGAGTTCAAGGGCAGTTGATCTCTCCTGGTTTGAATCATTTGAATTTAGAAATAACTTTTTATGGGAAAAAGTTACCATAGTGAACTCTGAAAAAAAGAAAAAAAAAGAGTTTAGCAGGTTTAATAACTGCAGAACGCAGCGGAGTAAAATGTTCCTCTCTAAATGTCATAACAAGATACATTTCTCATTATCATAGTAAGCCAATGGTTCGAGACTATGATTTATTTTTATTTATTTATTTATTTAGTTAGTTAGTTAGTTTTATATATTTTATTGATTTTTTACAGAGAGGAAGGGAGATGGGTAGAGAGTTAGAAATATTGATGGGAGAGAAACATCAATCAGCTGCCTCCTGCACACCCCCTGTTTGGGATGTGCCCGCAACCAAGGTACATGCTCTTGACTGGAATTGAACCTGGGACCTTTCAGTCCACAGGCCAATGCTCTATCCACTGAGCCAAACCAGTTAGGGCTTTTTTTAAATTATTATTATTATTGGGGTTTTTTTTACAGAGAGGAAGAGAGAGGGATAAAGAGTTAGAAACATTGATTAGCTGCCTCCTGCATGCCCCGCACTGGGGATGTGCCCGCAACCAAGATACATGCCCTTGACCAGAATCAAACCTGGGACCTTTCAGTCCACAGGCCAACGCTCTATCCACTGAGCCAAACTGGTTTCGGCCCTATGGTTTATTTTTTATATGGTTGTAAGTTTAGCTCAGTATAATAAGCAACCCATCTGTATATAAATTGAAATTACTTTTTTAAAATGTTTTCATGGTTTTAAGGTTCCAGTAGGCACCAAAATGAATATAATTCGCTAACAACATTTATTTTGTATAACCTTATCTTACAAACTTTAACCAAAAACCATGCTAGGAATGTGTGTTTCAGAGTTACTCCTGCTTCCTGGCTGCACTGATCAGTTGTGTTCACTAACTGTTGTGTTGTTGGGCTTATTAACAGTTCGCATGGACTCATGTCACTTTACTGATAACAGTTACTCAGTCACATCTTGTCATCCAAAATCTGTTTGAAGGCATGATATGGTAAGGGCTTAGAATTATGCTGCTTTATTCTTATGTCATAGCATTTTTTAAAGAATTTTCACATTGAACAGTATCTCACAAACTTCTACTAAAATGTACTATTTGTTGTTGCTCTATTCCATTAAATTACCTTACTGAGTTCTGTTGATTTATCACTTGACACTTGAAGACAAACATGTTAGCTGGGCATATGCCTTATTCAGGCTTCAAATAAAATAAAATAAAAGTTTCAAATTGTTAATTACACTTTCAGGCTTTGCTACATTTGAATGTGACTTTTTGCAAAGCATCACTCTTTTTAAATATATTTTATTGATTTTTTTTTTTTTTTTTTTTTTTTACAGACAGGAAGGGAGAGGGATAGTTAGAAACATCGATCAGCTGCCTCCTGCACACTCCCTACTGGGGATGTGCCCGTAACCAAGGCACATGCCCTTGACTGGAATCCTTCAGTCTGCACGCAGGCCAACACTCTATCCACTGAGCCAAAAACGGTCAGGGCCAAAGCATCGCTCGTAAAAAGAGCATATTATTTACATGGGATGCAGAGAGAACATGAAAGTTTGCTTGCCAGCATTGTGCTGGCAAAGCATTTCCTCTAGTGAAAGTGGTATGTTCCACCCTGCCTGTGTATGGGAGCAGGGGTTCAGATTTCAGATGTGTGAAATTACTCACTATGTAGCAGTGGTTTGCCCATTCAGAAAGTATTTTTGTAAATTAAAAGTTAGTTTCAATGGGGGAGGGGGGATGGGGTCATATGTAATACTTTCAACAAATATTTTTCAAAAATAAATTAATAAAAATAAAATTGTATTAGTTTAAAATTATGAAAATTATTAGTTAAAAATTAGAGTGGAGAAAAAAAGATTTTAAGAAATCTGACCATAATTTCCCCACGTTTAAAAAAGCACTCATTAATTAAAATCCTTTACAGGTGGTTTTGTGAAAATAAATTATTCCCAATGACAGTTTCGTGTTTTTTAGCCAAGGGGTTGGTGTTATTTGTGTATAATTAGAATCATTTTAAGATTGTCTTCCATATACAAACTTTTAATTGTTGGAGTAAGTTAGGAAATTAATAGGTTCTGCATAATTAGTAGGGTTTAATGCAATTTTAGGCTAAGATAGAATTAAACTTGATAATTTTTTCTGAAAGATAATTTTTATTATGAGCGTGATATAAATTTATCAGATTATACTCTATCTAAACCAAATGACTCTTTTTCATTTTGCTTTTTAAAAACTGTTTCTCATCGCTATTTCTTTCTCCTCTCCTTTCCTCTCTGAAAATATTTTTAAAAATTCTTTATACTGCTATAATTTGTTCATCATAAAAATGAAATTTGAAAGTCCACAGCTATAGAAATTCATTATTTAATATTAAAATTAAATTATTTATTAATAGTATATTCCTTAGCAATGTTTTCCCACTATGTTAATTTACATATAGATTTTGCTCTGCTTAATTGCTAAGCAGGCAAATGTGGTAGATATTTAATGTTTTGGCAAGTGTTATGTTCTAGTCTACTCTGAAGTGTAATTCAAAGAGTTATTATATTGACTCAATATGAGTCATAAGCTGTATAAAATACTTATCACTTAATCACATGAACTTGTTTTTGCTGACTTTTTTTTTTAAGGTTCCTTGTTCCAATATCAAGTGTTATCTGCAATGACATAACTGCTTACCTTTTTGGATTTTTTTTTGGGAGAACTCCATTAATTAAGGTAATTACAAAATACCACAAGCTACTACCCTGACCTTAAAGATTCGCCACTGGAGACTTAGTGCTGTTGCCCATTTTTGTTTCTTTTTCTTTTTTTTCTTTTTTTTCTTTTTTTTTATTTCCAAGGGGCTTCGATCCTCCTTGGCTGCACTCAGGGCAGTGAGCATGCTTCCCGAGGGTGCTGTCTGGTTCTTTAACTGTCCTGTCAGCTATCCTTTCTCCCAGGAAGGCTCACTTCCCCTTTTTGCTGGCTCCTTCCCTCAGGGTTGTGGGTCTCCTTGCCTCTGTGCCCACCCCGCTGTCTCACCTGCCCCTCCTTCACCAAACTCTTTGAAAGTGTTCATGACACCATCTTCACCTACCCATGTCCATTGGAAGACTTCTACACCCAAGCCAAAAAATAAAAATAAAAAATAAAAAAAAATTGAGGCCCTACAATAAAGTAGTGATAATGTAAGGAACAAGGAAAGGTTAAAATAGGGAAGGAAGGACATGTGAGCAGACCATGTTGTTTTGCCTTTGAGTTGCTACTTTTTACAGTCAGTGGAGGCAAAGAAGGAAATGAATTAAGTTATAAGTTCCCATTTTGAGGAAGAAAGAAGCAAACCAGTTCTTTATGGAAGAGCAAGCTGTGGCCTTTAAGACCCTTCCATAAATTCTCTCCTGCAGAGCAGCAGCCCAGCACAGGGTGTCAGGCTGAGCCAAAGGGATACAAGCAAGCCATGCATTTTCCTCTAAAGCTGCTCAGCATACGGGCAAGCCATTACGTGTTCTAGGCTCCTGGACAGCTAGACGTGTTGGGCTGAGGAAGTCTTCAGAGAGGCTGTTTGGCTGCAGAAGATTCACTGTCTGACTTAGAACAGAGTTCTAGTGAGCGTCCTGGGCTGGATTAGTTGCATAATGTATGCAGATGTATATTAAGTAAATTTACCCCTAAATCAGTATGCTGTGGAACGATTCAGTTATTCTTTGAACTCATCAGCAGACACTTTTGAATTTGAGTCAACTCCCACTTCATGATGATAATACTGAATTATCCTCCGAAAAGGTATACATCTGTCCCTTCGCTACGGCAGAATTGTCAGATATATCAAGAAACCGGTTATTTCTGCCAACCCTCTTGGCTTTGAGCTTTATGCACATCACCACCGGGAGCCTGTAGACAGCGTTTGTGGCCTAGCTGTCGCCCGTTTCCATCTGCAGAAGCTTCCCTACAGAGAGGAAGGGAGAGGGATAGAGAGCCAGAAACATCGATGAGAGAAATATTGACCAGCTGCCTCTTGCACACCCCCTACTGGGGATGTGCCCGCAACCAAGTTACATGCCCTTGACCGGAATAGAACCTGGGACCCTTCAGTCCGCAGGCGGATGCTTTATCCACTGAGCTAAACCGGTTTCAGCTTCCCTGGGATATTGTCTCCTGTCCCTGTATTCCCACTGAAAGGGTCATCACAGAAGCCGTCAGTGACCTGATGACAGCTCCCCTGACATCAGTCCTGCCTTTGCAGGGCAGACAGGCAGTCAGTGCGGTCCCTCCCCTCCTGCACCACCCACTTGCAGACCGTCCTCCACATTCCTCTCCCTGAGTGCCCCAGGGACTGGGGAAAGGCAGCTCTAACCTGAAACAAACTGTATCTGTTCTCAGAAGCCCAGCATGGTCCTTTCTTCATGGAGACAGACATAAGTTGTGATGAGAGAGAGAGAGAGAGAGAGAGAGAGAGAGAGAGAGAGAGAGAGAGAGAGAGAGGGAGGGAGGGAGGGAGGGAGGGAGGGAGGGAGGGAGGGAGGGAGGGAGGGAGGGAGGGAGGGAGGGAGGGAGGATGGATATGCAAATACTTGGGGAGTAAATACCCTATCTGGGGCTGGACCGTTTTGGCATTTTGCATGGTCTTTTGGGAATACGTGGGAATCTGGTGTGCTCCGATGTCCATGTTTAGTTATGCCTACCTATTTTTGGAGTGTGTCCAAAGTTTGAGGGCCCAATATGTGTTACATATATCAGAGAAATCCACACACGTAAATTGGGATCCTAGAATGAAGGGGAAAGGGTGGCAAAGCCATTCCAAGGAGAGATGTATGGGAATTCACCCAACAGAGCTTGCATCTGTGTTGTGTGTTTTGGGGGTACAGTAACTCTTATTTTATTCTTTTTGGCCTTTTCTAGCTATCTCCTAAAAAGACTTGGGAAGGATTTATTGGCGGTTTCTTCTCCACAGTGGTGTTTGGATTCATTGTGAGTTTGACTAAGATTTTTATTTTACTTCTGTTTTGAAAAATGGTAGCAAGGGTATCAGTCTATCCTAAACCTAAGAGAATTGAACCATAAAATGCTAATACTGTAGTTATTGAAACTCACTAAGCAGAATCTATTCTGTACCCCAGTAGCTCTCCTCCTGGTTTCATATCGGAACCACCTGAGGAGTTTATTCAACATCGAGGTCCCAGCCCCACACCAGGCCAGCTCCCCGCTGGGGTTCGCGAAGGCCTGGAGGCCCTCTGTTGTGTTTGGCAGTTTTCAAACAGCTGTTGGGGACACAGGTGCTAGGACAGGTGGTGGCCCTGAGTAAAAGCAGAAAATACTAATGGTGTTGGAGAGCCCTGCCTCCCTTATACATGATGCTATTTGGCTTAGCAAGCGCTTACTGCCACATGCAGGAAAAGATTGTTAAAGATAATTGTGTTTACTTTTAACCATGAATAATGGTTCTTGTTAATGTTTTAAAAATTACTTATAGTTATGGAATGTAGGATTTCGTTTTTTTAAATTAAGAGGTATCTCATAAGAAGCAATAAAGATATTGTAAAAAGTAAAGTGGCTGGATATAAAGTAAATATATTAAAAAATAGTTAGGAAGTTTAATTTTTTAAAGTGTAGTCCCTAACAATTCTAGAATACATTCCACAGTCAAGTATACAGTGACTGGAAACAGCATGAGAGACAGCAAATGTACAAATAAGTGAGAAGTATCAGGCTCCTGGCTAGGGAAAGCATTCCTCTGTTCAGTCTGCACGTTTAGTTCATTCTCGATGAAAATTCCAATAAGATCTGGCAAAGCTGACCCAGTCAGTATTTGCATTGGCTACGCTACATACTGTAGAGTCCTGAGGAGATAGTAACTCATAAACAAAAGGATGAAAAGGGAACTGATCCCGTCTGATGTTTATACATGACAAAGCAGGGATTATTAATTTAAATAGTACTATAAGAATTTGGTATTATTAAAGACTAATTTAGAAATAGTACAAGAATAGCCATATCATTGGAAGAAAATAAACAGCTACCCTGTAAAAATGTAATGCATGGCAAAAGTAATGAGGAGGGACATTATATATTTTCTAATATATAATTTTGAGGAAGCTGGTTAGAAGCAAAATCAGTTTATTAACATTCCTAGTGTCAATTTGCATTTCCCTTAATCAGTCTTGAGCAGAATAATGGAGTGAATGGCTGCAGAAGCAAAGAGAATAAACTGTTGTCTAACCATTTCAATTTTAAATATTTTGTTTTATGTATCTTCTTTCATGGCTGAGAAAAGCTATATTAAAAATTACAGTGCTGTGATCAATGGAAGGATAGTTAAGCTTTCAGGGTTAGTTAACAATGGTGTTTTTCATTTATTTATTTTTTTGTAGTTTTAAATCACTGGTTATTTATTAATTGATGAAATTTATATAACATTTATGCAAAGAACTTCAGTTCTGTACTCTCCCATGCCTAGTGCTTCTGCTAACATTAACTATATGTACTTTAGAAAAGTAAAACCTTGTTGAAATGCTTGTTTGAATGTTTAAATCAGCTTCTTTTCCTCCTTCCTCTTCCTTGTTTTTATTGTGGTCACATAGATATAATCTCATAGATTTTCAAAAGGCCTTTGGTTTTCCAGTGGCTTTTCAAAGTCTTTTATCGGTTCAGTTTTGACCATCAAGCTTTGAGAATACATAGCAGAATGTGAATACAAAGAAACTTTGGCATTCTACTCTGGCTGTTGTGCTGACACACCACACACACACACACACACACACACACACACATACACACGCAGTGTTTCATGAACTCCTGCTTCGTTATTCAGGCTGCCTATGTGTTATCCAAGTACCAGTACTTTGTCTGTCCAGTGGAATACCGAAGCGATGTCAACTCCTTCGTTACGGAATGTGAGCCCTCAGACCTTTTCCAGCTTCAGAGTTACTCCCTTCCTCCCTTCCTGAAGGCCGTGCTGAGACGGGTAAGATAAATGTGGGTACGGTCCTCTCTCCCAAAGAGTAAGATTTTTACAGGACATTGATTTCTACAGAGGTTGATTTCTATGATACAGCAGTGGTTTCACTGTCTGCTTAGCACCAATAATGTGTTCTAGCCCCTTGTAATTTCCCTTTCTTGGACCTAAAAATGAACATTACTGTCATAAACCTGTTGTTCATTAGGGGTTTACTTGCCGAATGGTTTGAATACTGATGCTATGCTTCATCTTGTATTTGTTTTGAAACATTTAAAAATATTCCATAGATTTCTGAAAATTGAATGAGTTACAATAAGTTACAACATGTAATTGGCAATGAATAGGCTACATTTTATAAAAATATGTTTTTATTGATTTCAGAGAAGAAAGGAGAGGGAGATAGAAACATCAATGATGAGAGAGAATCTTTGATCAGCTGCCTCCGGCATGCCCCCTACTGGGGATTGAGCCCACAATCTGGGCGTGTGCCCTTACCTGGACCTTTCAGTCTACAGGTCGATGCTCTGTCCACTGAGCCAAACCAGCTAGGGCATGAATTGCCTAAATTTAAAAATTAATTAAAATTTACCAGCTTGGAGTTTCCTTGGTTTTTCAGGGGAGCTTTACTAGCAGAGAAAACCGCTGCTTCCAAAAACCAGTTTCCCTTCCAGAAATGCACTCCTGCCCTTTAAAGAAACCCGAGGTTTTACACCGCAGGCTGTGCCATGCTGTCCAGCAGAACCTGCTGGCGTGTGCCGTCAAGACCGGGGGCGGTTACTTAAACTGGGGATTCAAATAATTGTGTCTTGTATGTCTACCCATGTGTACATGCATGTATCTGAACCATTTTAAACTACAGTCCATAACTTTAGAGAATAATTTAATTCTCTCATGAGTGTTCAATACGTAGATTCCAAGAGTTTTTCCAATGTCAGAGCCATCTGTTATCTGCAAAGATTTTTACTGCCAATCTTTGATTAAGATTGGTGCTCTCAATGATGGTTGTTAAACCATACCGGACGGCTCTGTACTGTCTGTAGTCTGAAGCTTTAGTTTATTTAAAGCAGAGAAAGAAAGAAAAATGAGGAGCAAGAACTTAGAACTTATTTTTTTTTTTAAATCAATCTTTATTGTTCATATCATTACAAAGGTTCCTCATTTCTTCCCCCCTCCACCAGGTTCCCACCCCACCCTCCGCCCCCTCCCCATCCCCCATTGTCCTCATCCATAGGTGCACAGTTTATGTTCAGTCTCTTCTTCCCTCCCTTTCCCCGATAGTAAATCGAACTTAGAACTTATGAAACAATTTGCAGATTTCTCAATTTTTATGATCTCCGTAGATCTTTTATAAACGTCTTGCTGATGCACATTTTGGTATATTTTTTAAAAGCAAATTATTTTCATGTGTTTCCTTAACATTTAGTTTACTATTAATAGACCTCATTCTGTCATATTAACTTTATTTCACTTTAACTTTAAGTGAAATAAAATTCAAAATTTAAAATACATTATATAATTACAAAAACAAAGTACTGCAGGTAAAAAACAAATTCCGAAATTAACTCAGCTGATTCTTGCTGAGTCTACTGCTCAAGTGTTGTAGAACTTTCTAGATGAACTAGAAAGTAGCCTGTTGGTTGCAAGGTTTTGGTGTGCCAGGCACTGTCCGTGGCATGCAGAGGGCACGAGAGTGCGGCTAGGAGAAGATGGATAAGGAGAGCTTGCGATGTATTTTTCTCCCGTGAGCCTGAAATTAACAAAAATGTTACATGTTTTGACTTATGATTAGGTCATATTTTTAGTTTAGGTGGTGTGCTCAAATACAATTGTAATGCCCCACCCCTCCCTCTTGTTTTCCTTCGCAGGAGAGAGTGAACTTGTACCCTTTCCAGATCCACAGCATTGCTCTGTCAACGTTTGCATCTCTAATTGGCCCCTTCGGAGGCTTCTTTGCCAGCGGATTCAAAAGAGCTTTCAAAATCAAGGTGTGTGTTTAGGTTCTTTGTTATAATATTGGAAAACGTAATAGAGTTGAAGTTCAGTCCTCTACCGGTCTCATCCATTAAGCCTTGCAGCAAAAACTATTGGTTTCAGGCCTCTCAGGAATGCTTCCTATTTGGTTTGAGCGTATTCTTCCTTGTCAGGTTTTGGTCGAGCCATGTCATGTCAGCCTCTCTTATAGAAACGACAGGTGTTACTTAATTGGGGGACAACACAGAACCTTGGTCCTTCAGGCGCTCGGCCAAGAATCGGGCATGAATCATCTAAAGATGAGTGTCCTGCTACAGTCTCACTTCAGGGACAGACAGAGCAGCCTCGGAATATGTAAATGTCCATTCTGCTCGACCAGGGGTCAGCTAACTTCCGTAAAATCCCACACCCTAACCACTCACCTCTATCCTCTGCCATCGCTGTGGGAAAGCCTGGCAAACAATGTGTCCATGAGTGGGCGTGTTGTTTATTTTGTAAATCAAGTTAATAAAGTTACAAAAACAGTGGCTGGATTCGGTCTGTGGGGCTTAGTTTGCTGGCCCCTGTCCCAGATACTTAACGTCATCCCTATGTTTTACGTTAGATTCTTAGGGAGTGACACCCAGGGTGTCCCCCAAAAAGGTACCCCCAGTTAACAGCTGATGGCTCAATTGATGCTGCTGCTTCTTTTCAATTTAGCCCATTGGAATTAATAATCATTCCAAGTGTGTACACATTTTTGGGAACACCCTGCACACTTGTCCTCTCCTCTCAGCTCTCCTCCCATGGCTTCACCAAGCCCAGAGGGAACGTTGTGCCTTTAGAAGTGAGAGTGGGCAGGCCTCTCTGAGGGGGTGGCATTTGAGCAGGAATCTGAGAAGAGGAGGAGGAGGAGGCCCAACGAGTGCACAGGAGGGAGGAGCTTAGCCTGATGGAGTGGGGGGTGTGGCCAATCCAGCTGCAGAGGCGGGTGGAGTCAGATCAGAGAGGGCCCCAAAGGCCAGGGAAGTGAGAAACTGGGTGAGGATCTGCAATGGGGCAGATGGTATGTTAAGTGGGACGCAATACAAAAGTGTGAGAGATGTTGTCCAATGAGTTACGGTGGCCGTCTTGGGCTGCAGTTAGTAGGGAAGAGAAGGAAGGACATGTGTTGGCAAAAGTTAACCAAGGATTTGTTTTACTCAGAGACGTGTTATATTTGGAATGGCATTTTCTTTAATAGTCTCCAACCCAGGGTTTCCTGTTGACTGCTGAGAATGTTTTCCTGTCCAAAATGCTGTAATTGCTGCTGCATTTTAGATGCTTATAGGTTGCCCGAGTGAATGAAAGAGGAATTAGTCATTGCTATTTCCCAGGCCCTGAGAGTGGATATATCTGTCCAACCAATTTGCAGAGGCTTACTAACCAAACCCTCAATTCAATTGACTAATGTGTCCCAAATGAGCTATCTACTTTTATGTTCTTTTTACCCCAACTCTTAGAAGAAGAAATATTTATTATTGTAGTAAAATGTTTATTTCAGAGTAAGAACCATTAGGATAAATATGAGTTAAAATCAGATGTACATTTGTCAGCAATACTAAAATAGCTCCCAAAATAGTTTTGCTTAATCAGAAAAGTGTAGTCTGTAAAAATATTAGACTAGTAATAGCTGATAGCTCTTTAGATTTGGAAAAAGTTTTCTTAACTAAAAAAAGTGCTAGTATTAATATTGAATGAGTGTTATTTTAATATTGCTGGTCAGTTCAGTAATGTTCTAACATGGGTACAGATGCCAAAGATGTGATTTTGATCTGCTGCACATGATCTAGGTTTGTATTTGGTGTGACAATCTAATATAATAGTATTTTCCCTAGTGTCCATGATTCCAGAAACATCTTTTATAACATTTTTTTTTTTTTAATTGGCTAATCTGTCGGTTTGTTTTGGTAGGATTTTGCAAACACCATTCCTGGACATGGCGGGATAATGGACAGATTTGATTGTCAGTACTTGATGGCAACATTTGTGCATGTCTACATCACAAGTTTTATAAGGTACTTTTAGATTTTAAAAAATGTTTTCACATTTGGTTTCTTGAAGTTCTCATTTCCATAAACATTGGTTTGAACGAGTTGCTTTTCTGTTGGTGGTAACCTATCATATCAGAGGGCATGGCGGCCCCTGGAGCTGTGTCACACCGTACCCCTGAGCAGTGTGCTTACATTTTTATTATTGTATGTAGATTTGAACTGAGATAAACAATGGTACATATTGTGGTCTTTAAAGGGCCAACTTAAAATCCACTCAGTATGGATGGTACTGGATTGGAACATCAGAGATTTAATTTCTTGGTTGTGGGTAAGGCAATGATAGTGAATACAAAGAATTAAAAAGGAGGCCATAATAGTACATCCAGTTCACCCATTATTGCCTGAGGGCCTGTTACATATTGGGAAATGTTCTTGGTACGAATATAGCTGAGAAGAAAACAAACCAAGTTCCTGCCTCAGAGCTTGCATTCTCACTGGGGAGTTGGAGGGAAAAGGGGACAAGCAGACACTAAACAAGTAAATATAGCTTGTTTAGGTGGTTATAAGTTCCACAGAGAAAAATAAAACATGCCAGGGGATCGGGTTGTGTGGGGTGGGGTGAGTGGAGGGCATTGCTATTTTATTTAGGGTGGCTTATTCATGTTTTTTAAACCTTAATGTTTTAGGTCTGCCCTCAAAAGGCCCATTGGGGGTATGGAAGCAGAAAACATGTGTTTCCTTCAGAGAGTTATTTGAAGTTGAAACTCATATTTATAGGTCTCTAAATACATACCCATTTTAAATACATACTCATAACAGCATGAGAATTTTTGTATTAACACTTATTTTTCTTGTGTTATCTTATTAGGAGTTTATATTTTTCTTCAGTAGTCTTGTTAGTTTATCTACCTCATTCATCTTTTCAAAGAATCAAATTCTGGCATTGTTAACTTTATAGTTGTTTTCTATTTCATTGCTGTCCATTCTCATCCTTCGTCTTTCTTTAGGTTCAATTTGCTATTCTTAAGCTCTTGAGATAAAGCTTACATTATTGATTTTCAGCCTTCTAGTCTGACCAGTGGATTATTTATAAGTGTACTGATTGATTTCCAAACAAATGAAGATTTTCCCATCCTCCTTTCTTTATTGATTTTGCTTTAATTCCTCTGTGGTCAGAAAACATACTGTTTATTATCTCAGTATTTAATAATTGTTGAGACTTGCTTTATGCCTCAGTGTATTGTCTATTCAGGTACACGTCACGTCCTGTGTGCACACAAGCGAATGCGCCTTCTGCAGTTTCTGGTGGGCATGTTGTATATGGCATTTGGGTGAAGTTTAGCTAAATCTTCTGTACTGATTTTTTTTTCCTGTCCACTTATTCTATCAGTTACAAAGAGAGCCTTGTCAAAATTTCCGGCTATGATTGTAAATTTACCTAATGCTTTTTTATTATTTTTTAAATTTTTTTATTGATTATGGTCTCACATAATTGTCACTCTCCCCCCCCCCCCCCCCCCCCGCAACGTAGCAGGCGCCTGAACCTTCTCCCTAATGCTATTTTTAATTCAGTCATTCATTTGTTGCTTTATATATTTTGAGGTTGTATTAAGTATATACACAGTTAGGGCTCTCATATATCCCTGTTAAGTCACTCCTAATGTCATTATATACTGTTATATACTGCCCATCTTTATGTACTACTTGCTTAAAGCCTATTTTGTTGGGTATTAGAATAGCTACATCAGCCTTATTTTGGTTAGTATTTGCACAGAATTCTTTGTTCCTCCTTTTACTTTAGCATTCCTTTATCCTTTTAGTAAAAGTGTGTTTTTCTTTTCTCTCTCTTAAAGAGAGAGAGAGAGAGAGAGAGAGAGAGAGAGAGAGAGAGAGAGAGAGAGGTGAGAAGTGGGGGAAGAGAGGGAGGGAGAGAGACACATTAATTGGCTTCCTCCCATACCAGGGCCAGAGATGGAACCTGCAACCCAGGTATGTGCCCTTGACCGGGGATCAAACAGCCAGACACTAACCATTGACCCATGCAAGTCAGGGCTTCTTTTCTCTTCCAACAAGCATATGGCTGGCTTTTGTTTTTGTTATTTATAACCCAGTAGACAACCTTTGTATTTTTATTTGGAATATTCAATCTCTTTGTGTAATTCATTCACCGATAGAGCTGAAGATTGGTAATTAGTGGTTAAGCCCTCAGAACTCTATCTCTGCAGCAGATGGCAGCAGTTAGGGCATCAACTCATGCCTCAGATTTTTTTCAAATGTGCCTTCCTCGTAGTTTGCCGCCGGAAATATTTACTGCGGGAACACCGTGCCGGTGCCAGGGGGCAGCAGGCCGAGCACCTGCTGGCCGTTTTGCATTTAGCTGAGCTTGCTGGAAAAGCCTTCCTTTTCTCTGTGGGCTCTCCTCTGGGTTTCTGTTCTCAAGTTGCTGCATCTTTCAGTATATGTGCTGCCGAAATGAGCGCTGTTGCTGAATCTTTGGAAGAAATCTAAGACAAGCTGTGCCCTGACTCCGGGAGACTGTGGCTGTAGAATTATGGCTGCAGTTTTTGGCCTGTTCATGAAAGGGATCCATAGGATGGCTGAATCTGAGCATTTCCACTTCCTATAATTCCATTTGAACCGGACAGTCCTTATCATAAATTCTAAATTTAATTACGCGTGTAAATGTCTCTCTGGTTACCATTCTCCTTGTATGATGTCTTTTTCCCATTGGAATTTACTCACTGCTCTTCACAAAAAGTGAACCACACTCTGCCTTTCAAGTGGTTCTGCAGAAATGACAAAACGGTACATATGCATTACCGTCTGAATCAGGTTCCCTCGGAACTTGATAGATCAGCACTTTAGAAGATCATATAAGTGGCCTCTGGTGTACAAGGGGGGTGGATAAGTTCTAGAGCCCAGGAGGGGAGGCAGTCCCCTGACTGAGTCACGGCGGCAGCACCGTGTGAGGGCAGCATCCTGGTCTGGAGCAGGCCATGGGGCAAGGGGGGTGAGAAGGGCTGCAGTGGGGGTGCTGGTGGAGCCGCCCAAGGGCGGTGCTGAGAGGCCCCTGTGCCTGCAGTGCCACTGGCCCTCGCTGCTTCAGTTCGCCCTGGGCTCACACCCTCCCCCTGGGACAGCCAGGGCGGTGGGTGAGGAGGCAGGGCTCCCCTCCCTTCAGCTGGAGCAGATCCGCTTCATCTGTCCCTCAGCCTGGGGCCCTCAGACTCCCCTTGGACAAAGGCTGTGGCCCCACGGCAGAGGCTGATGGGAATTCAGTTCTGGACTCAGACCCTTTGAGTCCGGCCTCCTGAACATTCATGGTTCCCCTGAGCATTCATGGTTCCCCGGGTGGTTCTCCACAAAATGCCTTCCATTGTTGGACATTTCTTTGATGCTAACAAGCGAAACACTGTTTTCATGTCCTTTCCCACCAGGAATTTTGCTCCTTTCCTTACAGGATCTTTTTTGTGTGTGTTTTGTCAGGTTGCCCTTCTGAGAATTTTGTAGAGTTCAGATCTGTACCCCATGTACTGCCCAGGACCAAGGCTGGGTTTGGTGTTTGTGCATTCCTGCTATGTGGAGACTGCACGCCTCTTAGCAAAAAAAATCATTTGAGGTTTTTGTTTGTTTTTGTGTTGTTTTTACTGTTGGCACTAACACTGGGCATTAGAGTATGCTCTGATCAGGAGCTGTTTCAGTTCTGTAAAGATCACTGCTCTGCACGGAAAGGCAACATTTAAACTGGGGGCATATGCTTCCTTTAGCTCTCTTACAATAGCAAGATCTCTCCTTTCTGTTTTGTTACCAGGGGCCCGAATCCCAGCAAAGTACTGCAGCAGTTGTTGGTGCTTCAGCCGGAACAGCAGTTAAATATATACAAAACCCTGAAGATGCACCTCATTGAGAAGGGGATCCTGCAGCCCACCTTGAAGGTATAACCGGACCCGGAGAGGGAAAGACTGAGTTGATAATAAGGAATTCTACAGGAAAGCACTGACAGATGAAATTTTGTAAATGTACAGAGAAATGGTTGAAAATGCACTAGAATGAAGATTTACAGGCACGAGTGTTTCTTCTCTGAATTACTGTGAATATTTAACACACACTTACCTACTTGATCTAAGTTATGAAATAAGTAGCAGATCATCAGAGTATTCTGTACTTTTTTCTAAAGTGTATTTTCTGATGTTAACTTCCTTTCCCTTACTTGCCATGTTCATAATTTAAAAGACTGTTTTTAAAGAGTCAAATACTATCAAATGAGTCCATTGAGGATGTCTTAAGATTGCACCTGAACGCGTGCCCTTTGCACAAATATTTACTTTTGCACTTGGAGCTGCTCCGGGTTTTAGTAGAATGTTCCCTCGGAGGCTCTATAGGAAGTTCATGCTCCTGCACTTCCTCCTCTTTGGGTTTGAAGTATTTTCTGAGGGCTGAGTTGGATCCAAAACAAAAGGAAAGTAAGTAAGCAATCATTTGCCAGGGGAAAACATTCCACTTTTAGGTAGGTTTGAAATTCAAGAGAGGGAGGCTGAAATTTCTATCTTTATTGGCTGACATCAGACTCTACTTCTGATAAAGTTGTTTGGAAAAAACCTGACTTCGCAAAAGCCTTTGAAGAGAAACAAAGAAGAGTTCTGCTCTGAAGAACACGTGTGCAGCCTCCACGGAGGACAAGCACTCAGGAGACTGCGTAGGACAGGGACACATGACACTTTGGGGCCAGTTAGTTATCTGCTTTTCCTTGTTTCCCTGTGAACTGGTTTCTTAACGTTCTGTGGCCATGAGCACAAAAGATGAGTACGTAGGGTAGAGAGCAGGGGTGGTGGCTGAAGCAGAGAGGGGGTGCCCTGCTGAGCGAGAGTGACCCATCTGTGGATAAGGCTGGGTGTCCCGGCTCGCATGCAGCAGCTGGAGACACTCCCTGGCAGGAAGCTTGAAGATGTGCCTGGAGGCCCAGACCCTGACTGACAACATGGGAGAGCTCATCTCTGTCCCTTTCCTTTCTCACATCATGTCATAAAACCCGAGGACATCAGCTGACAATATTCTTCTTCCAAGAATGAAAATCAAGCAGAAGTGATTTCCCACCGAGAACAAAAAGCACACAAATGTCAAACCTTCCTCTGATGGACGAGGACAAGTTTCTTAAGCAGTGAATGTAAATAAGCTCATGTTGCTGTGTGCTCTTTATAACCATACTTACTGTATTGAAGAGGCAGCAATAAAATTGCCTATTGCTCCTTGGCTAAATGTTCGGAGAGAAGTAATAGATATATTTTAAAGAACGTTTTACTAATGAAAAGAGGAAATATTTTTGTTTAAATCAAAACAAACTTCAATTATTTTATATTCCTGTTCTGTACCCACAATCAAAGAGGGTAGTTATGCTTGGGTCCCAGTACCGATATCCCTAGGATGTCTCTTAAAGGAGCAGCTTCACCACGTGCACTGCACGGCTGTCGTGGGTGTAGCTGAACTCAGTACCAAGCGTCTGGTTTCTCAGCTTGGCATTCAGTTGGTTCACAACTGGATGTATGCAGTTAGCGTTATTTCACCCTATTCCATAAAAACCTAGAATTGGCAATGGAAATGTTATAAGACAAAATGATCCCTTTTAAAATCAGGCTACCTACCAGTTAATTTCCAGCATCTCTCATTATTTGCCTCACAAAAGCTCCAAAAATGTTAATCAGACAGGAATATAGCATATCAATGTTGAAAAAATCAAATAAAAAATTTGTAATAGGAACCTACGTTGATGGAGATTTGCACAATAAAAACTCTTTGGAGTTGCACAGTTCCTTTGCATTTTCTATAAGGTGGCTGCAGTGCAGAGTGATAGTTGAGGAAAGCATCACCCATGATTGTAAAATCACTATCACAATAATATATTAAGCTAGAAATATTTGGGGTCAGAATAGTAACTTATCTCAAATATACTTTGAGTTGGGTGTACACTATTGTATATGTAAAAAGTAAATTCATTTAACAGCGCTAAAGTACCTTTTTGTACTTTTAGAGCATGTATATTAAAATATATTTTATCAAATGATAGCCCTAAAACCCTGACTTTGATCATTTTTGTATTTGCACTATGAAGAGGACTTAAATTCTAGTACAGCTACATGATGGCAGAAAAATGAAAGACTAGGAACTTCCTTCAAGGTAACTGTCCATTTTTCCAAACTGGCTAGTTTTGGAGGTGCTCTGAGGGTACCTATTGCTTAACTCTTTAACCTGTGGGATGCAAATGTTCCCTCGGTGTTTTCCCCTGTGGTGATACATATACATTTGCTCTCTGAAAAGCAAAGACCACACCCACTCACTCACCTCTTTTTTGTTTTTCGTTTACAGTATCACTTTGTACCTTGGTTTGAACAAAGATAGCTTCACTTTGTTCAGGGGAAAAGTAGAAGCAGTGTACATATACTGTATGTGGGCAGGAGGTAGCTCATACTATGTGTCCATCAGTTCTCTGAATCTTTTACTGAAACATAGGAAAATAAAACAGATAAATCATATTGACCTTGTCGTGCCATTTTCTCGTTGGAGAAGAAACGTTCGTTCCACTCGTGTTTACACAATGATGATGGATACACATAAGTATTATCTGTTGTGTATTTTCCATCACCAATATCTACAGTGAGATCTTTGGGGACAGGGATAATGAAGTTCCGGTGATGGCTGAAGGGTGTGTTTGTCAGGAGGTGATGTCCTTTCACTAGAAAGAGTAAGTGCCGAGGTTCAGTGGCATTCTCCACACATTGACTACAAAGACCTGACCCAGTCCCTATAGAGCTTTAGGTCACATGGATGCTGAGGGGCGTCTGTTTGAATAGCCATTGTGATTCCAGGTCATGCTCAATGCCAACACTCCAGGCCCTCAAGCATCAGAACTTAACTGTGCACATGCCCACTGTGTCTCTTGGACAGCCCTTCCATGCCCAGCCCAGTTTTCATGTTGCAAAGCTCTGAGATGGGCTTTGTTATTTCTAGTTGCTGGGGTCGCTTTAAGGGTTAAAATTATGCATGTGCCTTGGTTTCTGTCCACTCTAGAGGAACCAATTAGTAATCCTTCGTTTCCTTTTTTCCTACTTTCTCCTCTCGTTGCCCATCTGCAGAGGGAAGTGACTGAACAGAAAGGTAACCACATCTGGCCACACTGGATTTAGGTAGTGTTCATGTAAGTGTTCTCTCAGCGGTAGACATCCCATCACTTCATGTCAGCAAAACTGGGACGTCTGCCAGACACCCAGCGCTGCTTTTTAGTTCTAGCGCCAAGAACATTAGAATAGAGTTTTTTACCTGGAGACAGAGGTACTGCATCCAAGGTGGCTGTTTATCATGGCGATGCCAACATCTAAACCAGGATCGGGAAAACAAGACAACTATTCTGACCTCCACGGAGGAGCTGTCTGGCCTGCAGATAGTCCACAGCAGATTTCTCTGCCTGCTCCTGAAATTCAACAACATTTAAAATTTCACTTTGGAAATCTGTATGCAATGGCTGCAAATAAAAAGCAGGTCTAGACAATTTAACCCCAAGCCTGTCTGTCGCACCTTCACCCTGTTGTCTTTCTTTTCCTGTGCAGCGGAGAGAAACCTTGAGTCATCAGGTATCCTGGAGAGTCCCTGAGTGAAGGTGGTGAATGGAACCTGATTATTATCTGATGATGATTATGTTAGTTTTCCAAAGGAGCAGGGAGAATACGGTCTGGCTCTGTCACGTGTACAAAGGACATGGGTGGGTAAAGCAAAGCCTTGTTGCCCAGAGAGAGAAAAATCAGGGGCAGTCCAGCCAAAGGCGTGTTAGAGAATGAAATCTCAAACTGTCAAGCTTACGGCACAACAGGGTACAGGACGTGGGGTTTAAGTTCTCAGACCCTTCTTTCCCGTGCAGCCAGCTGAGCTTAAGGGATCCAGGTGGGTTTCTCTTCGGGATGTGCAGTGCCAAACCAGACAGGACCTAGAAGAGTAATAAGTTTGAAGAACAAGTTTGAATAATCAAGCATATATATATATTTTTAACAGTTTTAATTGCAAAAGCATGTGAAAAGGGACTGGAGGTTTCCGCTAGTACAAGTAAGACACATTGAGGGGCGAGTCCAAGATGGCAGCACAGATAGCCACTGAGCTCACCTGCCCCCAAGGACTCATCAAATGTGCGAATACCTGGGGCAGTGCCCTCTGCGAGCCAAAGGGGAGCCAGCTGTACAGCTGCACAAGCAAGAGAAAGGGACGCATAGAGAAGGCTGGGGAACACCAGAGCTCTCCAGGCAGAGGAACAGCCCTGGGCCGGAGGAACTGGTGAGCACCATTGTTTACGCTTCCCTGACATGTGGTATGGGCAGGAGCTCCATCCAGGTCCCCTGGCCCACCTGCAGGTCACTGGAGCGTGACCTCAGCCACCCTTCTGTATCCAGATCCAGCAGAAACAGGAGGAGCTGCTGCGCACACAAGGTGCCCCTCCACCTGAAAGCTGACTCAGCAGACAGGGCAGGTTGCTGTTGGCACACCCACCAGGCTGTGTGCACAGGGAGCTCCCCACCTGGAGAGAATGTGGGACTAGAAAATGCCATGATGTTGCCCTAACCGGATTGGCCCTGTGGATAGGGCGTCGACCTGCAGACTGAAGGGTTCCAGGTTCAATTTCGGTCAAGGACATGTACCTTGGTTGCGGGCACATCCCCAGTGGGGAGTGTGCAGGAGGCAGCTGAATCGATGTTTCTCTTCGATGTTTCTAACTCTTTGTCCCTCTCCCTCTCCCTTCCTCTCTGTAAAAAAAAATCAATAAAATATATTTAAAAAACAACAAGAAAATACCATGATGTCGCCGGTAGGGATACCCTGTCCAGAAAATTTAAGATAGTGGGCAGGCTGCCCTCCTGGAGACACTGTGGAGCAGCACCCACCCACAGGGCTGCCCCATGCAGAG